TTGAGAATGAACACATTCTAAGATTTTATTCAGCCCATTAATTAATGAGAGAATTAGTAAGATGATAAAGCTGGTCCAAAGGAAGTTTGGAGAAACAGAGATATTAAAGTCAGTCAAAGGAATGCTGAAATTTACCAGCTGATACAAATTAGTTAATATCCCATAGTGCATTAACCTCAGGGGGTGTGTTTTTTTACTGGAAGGAAATCTATGAGTTAATGTATAACCTCAGTGTCTGGTCTCTAATCAAATAGTAAAATAGCAAAGTCAAACAGGAGAATTCTCAGACATAGATAATTAATTATTAGGCAAACATGTTAAACAATGTCACTGTTGCCTTCGTCTTACTTTATTTCAGGTTTTGGATGATTTTTCTTCATAGTAATGCTTTTTTTTTTTCAGTACACGGGCCTCTCACTGTTGTGGTCTCTCCCGTTGCGGAGCACAGGCTCCGGACGCGCAGGCTCAGCGGCCATGGCTCACGGGCCTAGCCGCTCCGCGGCACGTGAAATCTTCCCAGACCGGGGCACGAACCCGTGTCCCCTGCATCGGCAGGCGGACTCTCAGCCACTGCGCCACCAGGGAAGCCCCATAGTAATGCTTTTTAAAGTGTTTAGAAGAGACTGTACCAAGAGAAATCATAAGGTATTGTTTACCTTGGTGAAATATTCTGACCCTTAGCTCTGTAAGTTCAAAAGCTGATTTTTTTTTCCACCCAGTGTGCCTATACACTAACTCAGCTCGCAGGAAACAAATCTACAAATCAGACAAAAGCAATTTGTTTTCATTAAAAATATATGAATAGATCAGATTCTTATATTCTATGGCTGGTACATTCTTTCCCCCAAGGAAAGCAGTAAATTGGGTCCACTTACCATCTCAATGTTGCTTGATGATCTCTAGTGAAACTAGCTAGGAAAATCTAGCTGCAATGCCGTGGAAATGTCCCCACCCTCCTCATTTACCCAAATGAAGGGCGGAAAAAGATCTCCTTTCTCCAGGAGCAGGAAAAATGAGTATGGCCACAAAAAGTCTAGGTTCTTGCTTGGGATTTGGGAAGAGGGTGGAGAGGAATGGTGAGTACTTTCACTCCTTGCCAGTGGGTAGGCTTTACGAAAGAAAGCTCTGCTATGGACAATATTGGGAAATTCCATAGATTCCAAGGTAGTTTCCAAAACTAAGCTTCTGCCCCTAGTGGCTCAGAGTCTGCTCTCAACCTGGACAGTGAAATGAGCCAAGGGCATAGTCCCAAATCCTGTTATTAGTGTCTGCAGTCTCCCTAGGAGGCTCCCCATACACACCCACATGTCCACACACCTCACTCATCTTCCTTTATTGCCCATCTCCTTCATTTCTCATCACCCATGCCCTTCTCTGCTCTGAGAACTTTCCCTTATTTTGGTGGAGTGGGATGGGAGGAGAGAGGCAGAAACGGTGAAGGAGGCTACCCTGAAACTTATTGTACTCGGAGTATATTCCAAGACCGGAACCCTCTGTTGGGTAACCTTCCTTCCTGTGCTCCTCTGGCTTCACTTAGCTACTGTTAGTGACTATGAAATCATTCAATAGGTGAATTGCTTTTGCAGCTCAACGATTAATGGCATCAGGACATCTCCAAAACGCCTGCCTTTGAACATGGATAGCTAAAGGGAGATTTTGATCCAGGACACTTCCTCCCCCAAACTGAATGTACATGGGAGATGCCCGACTGGATCTCTTTGACCTTTTCTAGGTTCCATCATATCTAATGCCTCCTCTGACTGACTCAGTCTTCCTTGGTCTGTAATTTTATCCAAGGTTATAACATATTTACTTTCTTGCTCTTCCTGCTTCTGGTGTGAGAAAGTTTCTGACTCTAAAGTGCTTTTGTAAGATGATATATTCCATTGCATACTCTTAGGTTGGCATGTGTAAATTTTTTTATGTTAAGTTTAAATAATTGCGAAAGATGTAATTCTACCATACTGTATATTTTACAAGTCTGTACATATTTTTTGACAAAACTCTGCACATTTAGCTCACTCAAGTCTCATTCCATTTATGGAGGGAATCTACTACACAACCTAATTAATAAAGCCAGTCCTTATTGACAAACCATTTCAACCAATCAGATTCACTCTCCATCAGTTTTCAATCAAAATAAATCTAATAATATGCATCATGAAAACCATCTCATTTATGAATTTTAACTCTAAAATAGACATATCAGATATCCACATAGATGGGTAGATAGACAAATGGATGGATGTGAAAGAAAGAAAGGAAGGAAGGAAGGAAAGGAGAGAGAGAAATGATAGAGCACTGAGACTTGTTTTGAGTTTGTTACCTAAATAAAATAAGATGGAATCACTTAGAATATTTCTTACTGAATCTGTCCTTGTTCACGAAGAAATTCTCCCTTGCCAGCTATGAATTCTTTATTTGGTTCCTTTGGAACGCTGGAGACAACCTAGCCTAGGAAGTCACATTCTGTCATTTTCACAGCATCCTATTGGTTGTACCCTATTCATTGTGCAAGGGGATCACATATGGGCATAAATAGCATCTTCAAGGCTGACTGCCACACATACATGATGGTTGTTCAATAAATATGGTTTGAATTAAAGAACTGTGTTCTACTTTTATCATTTAAAACTTAGAGAGCCATCCTTTTTCTAAATGGGGGAAAATCTCTCACCCTCCCACTCCTACCTGGGACAGCCTACAAGGTGAATCTTGTTTCAGTTTTCAAATAGAGAGTGAAAAACAGCAACCCAGAAATGATACCATGATGATATTTTTGCCCACTTTGAATACTTATATAGGACACTGGAAAATATTTTAAATTAGTGACATTTCAGGAAACCTAGGTACTGTGGTTGCTGTACATATCAGATAACCCTACTGATCAGAATACTCAGTTCCTGCCACCTGCATAGAGCTTCCTAGTTTACAAAGAGTTTTCACATGTATCTCATTTGAACTAATAAAGTCTCTGAGAAGGAGACAGGATGGATTTTATTCCAACTTTACAGATGAGGATACTTGACCAGGTCCAATTTTAATAAGAGGCAGAGCCAAGAGGAAAATTTTGTTTTCTGATTCCTAGTCCAGTAGGGGTGTGAACGATCAGAGGAGACTTTAAGGAGGAATTTGCATAGGATAGGCTGGGTTGTGTGGCAGAAAAGACAGCCCTAACATCTCAATGGCTCGAAACAACAGAGATCTGTTTCCTGCTCATATAAGTCCAATTAAGGTGGATTGACTTTCCAAGGCAACTGCCCTCCATACAGCAATTTAGCGATCCAGCCTCTTACAGCTGCCCCGTGGTTGTCACGTGGGGAAGTGGGTCTTTCAATGAAAATCAAATGCTTTGGTCTTAAAATGACACACCTCCCTTGCCCTGAACAGCCTGTGGGTCAGAACTAGTCATATGGCACTGTCTGACTGCAAGGGGACAGTGTAAGTCTCCTGTGTGCCCAGGGCATGGGTGAGCGCCAACACTCTCTACCAGTATAAACAGGGAAGAATAAACAGGATCTGTAGAAGTAGGAGGAAGCCCCTCAAGGACACGTGTGAAAATCGTGAAATACACGCACAACACCTAATCTTTCTGAAAGCCCAGTGCTGGGTTCTCTCACGTACATTTTTATTAGTTGATGCTGACAACAGCCTGGAAGGTAAATATTATCCCCTAGTTTATGGTTTAGGAAACTGAAGTTCGTAGAAGTTACAAAACTTGCCCCAGAGCACATATTAATACGTGGAGGAAAGTCTACCTCCCTTGTTCTTCTTTTTCTCCATCTCTCAGTTTTATATCATGATCTCTTCACCATCACATAGGGGATTTATTTTTACAGGGCCCTGGGAATCAGTGGGGAGGGATGCACAAGAGCTGGCAATTCTACTGGCAATGTTTTATTTATTGAGCTGGGTGGTGAGCACACAGATGTGTGTATAATTCTTTTTATGTCTTAACTATTTCAAAATACTTTTTAAAAAGAGGGGTGGCAGAGTGAGTTTGAAAACTTGTGACAGTTTCTTATCTTAAAAACATAAGTACTTTTTATGAATATCAGCAGCCAGAAAGCAGGAAATACAGTATTGTTAACATTTATTGAGCACATACTATGTCCTAGTTTTAAATAATTTATTAACATGTACTAACTTATGTTTCCCTTCCAACAATGCTACCAATGAGGTAGGTACTATCATTATCCTTATTTTAATGAGATGAAAAAATTGAAGTCAGATTAAGTAAATTATTTAAAGTCAAATAATTTATAAAGGGGAAAAACTAGATTGGAATGAAGCACTCTGGTTTCAGGACATGTACATATGAAACCCAACACCCTGTAATACCTCCCCCAAGAGGTGAAGGATGAGTCAGATTTGCAGAGGTGAGCCAAAATCTTTCACGCATCTTCTTGTTACATTCCTTAGAGGTTTGCATGCAGTTAAACAGGGAATTAAAAATAGCTTTCTTGTGACGTTGACCGAAAAAGAGATGATGTGTTTGGCAGCAGTTTCAAAGAAATATTTAAATATATGGGTTTGACTCCCTTGGACTGGTTGAAGGGGAAGGACCAGGTGATAACAGAGGGCTCTACATATCCTGTAAACTTCCTTGGCAAGGAGGGTGGAGTTAGGGAAGGAGTGAAGGCTTTTCGAAGGTCAAGTAATCTCGCCGAGTTGGGGTTTTTCTCCTGCTTGGATTGGGAAACTATAAAAACACAGTTTGGGATTACTGCTGTTGCTGCTGCTCACTAGATCACAGTTACTCCGAGACAGATCTCACTTCAGGATTGTAGGGTAAGGAATTCCCAGGTGGGATTCGCACCCAAGCGAGGCGGAAGCGCAGCGGGAGAGCTCTAGATTGACGGCTGGACCTGCCCGCGCCGGCGCCGCAGCGCGCGCCTGTGGAGGACCGCCGCCAGGGGGCGCCCACGCCCGGCTGGGCCGCTCTGTCTCCTCCCCTGCCCGCTCCCCGCCCCTCGCTCGCCCGGGCGAGCGGAGAAGGCGGAAGTAGGGGCATCCGCGGATGGGGCTCGGGCTTCCGGGGGATTCAGTAACGGCGGCCTTCGGGTCAAGAGACTGGCGTCCTGGCACCCTCGGCTTGGAGTGCGGTGCCTTTCTCTCCTGGCACCTTGGCTGAGTGGAGTCCTGCGGCCGGGCGTAGTCGGCGGCCCAGCGGACCGGAGTGGTGAGTCTCCTTCTGACGGCTCCCGGCGGTGGCGGCCTCTCTCCCCACGGGCTGGGATGCCTCCTCCTCTCCTGTTTCTCACTTGGGGACGCCGCCCCTGGCCCCTAGCTTCCCACGGGTTGGGGACGCCGCCTCCTCTCCCCTGGGTTCCCACAGGTTGGAGACGCCGATCCCTGTCCCCTCACCTCTGCTCCGCCGGCCGGTGGGGACCACCTCCCCGGCTCACTCCATCCCCCAGCTGGAATCTCGCGCCCACTTTCTTGGCCCGACTTCCCCCACCCCGCGCATTCCCCTTCTCAGAAAAGGAAATCGCCTCCTGTATTTTCCCATTGCTCGGATGGTACCGGCTTAAAAAAATCCCTTTTAGGTTCTCAGCGACTCCCTCTGTCACTGTCATGGGAGAGCTATTTTTGGGTTCCCTGTTGAACTCGGTAGATGTCCCAGGCAGCAAGTTTTTTTTTTTTTTTAAAGAAAAGGTTCAGCTGACACGAATGTTTCCTCCCCCGCCCTTGCACGCGGCAGTTCTAGCGATTGTTCCAGACGCTGGGTTGATAAAGCTGTTCCTAGTATTTGGCTTCAGGGGAACTCCAGCTGAGTTAGGACTGTCTTGAATGTGAACAGAAAGCACCTACAAATTTTAGGAGCTTCATACAACGTATAGTATTTGCGTGTTTTCTCTGGTTTCTCGGGAGTGTAAATCACTAAATGTCTTGCTACACAGACATAGAAACAAGAAAAACTTGAAATTCTGAGTGTTGGCCTTGTGAACCTGGCCACTGGTATTTTATCCATTCCCTTGTGATTACTCGGGAAGGGAGAAGGGGCTTTTCTGATGTTGATATGGGAGTGGGGTGAGGACGCTGTGGCTTTTTTTGTGACTCAAGGAAGGAATGTGTCTCAGGCCCTTGTTGCCCATGTGATGATCAGAGTTTCAACCTGCACCCACTATATACATCACAGTATTTAAGAATTGTAACTTGAAGTCTTTTCTGTGACAAATTTGGATACGTGATGCTGATAAATTTTTGGCCACTTAGATTTTGAAAGAAGTTCAAATCTTTGCCTCCTGGAGGAGAACAAATCATGCCTAGGAAAGGGAATGTCCCCTCAAATTTGTGTTCAAAAATAAGGCATATAGCAGTTGACTCTTTTGCAGCACCTTCGTCATTGCAGCCCTTTTGCAGGTCTTTGCAATTTTAAGAATAGATCTTAAGGATTTGGTAAATAGTTCTTGTTTCTAAAGCTAGTAGCAAATTAAAGGTAATTTCTCAGTGTTTTGTATTATGTGGTTTTACTTTAAAACTTAAAATTGACCAGTTCAAGACATAACTTACTGATTTTTTAGCTTGGTACGTTTCTCTCATTAGCATCTGTTGATCTTAAAGGAACAAAGTTTTGTGTATCGCTCTATTCCCCCTCCCACAAGATATTTAACAGTATACTCTTTGGAGCATAATATATAACCCCATACTAATAGGTGAATTTAAGCCATGATTTCTTATAAGGCTATTTTTGATATTCATTTTGCAGTCAAAATAAGTTGGCAGTGGTTACATCCCACAATATTTAATTAACTCAGTGCTTACTGTACTAGATTCACAATTACAAAGAGGGAATTACAGTCATGAAGCTCTTAACATACTAAGGAACCATTTAACCTTTGTGCTGTCTCTTCCATTAATTCATATAGAAAGCCACATGAATTCTGAATGTTAGAATAGAAAAGAGGCCAAAGAAATCTTTGAAGGTAAGAATATCTGTTTACTCTTATTTATTTTAGCTTATGTAAAGCCAAGCGTACCTCTGTAGCGTCTCATGAAGTGGATACCTAAGGCACCATATGAGGTTAAAAAAAAAATACTAATAAAGCATAGTATTTTCTACACGGTTGCCAGATCATCATCATCTTCTTTTTTTTCCCAATTATTTATTTATTTATTTTTGGCTGCGTTGGGTCTTTCGTTGCTGCACGTGGACTTTCTCTAGTTGCAGCCAGTGGGGGCTACTCTTCATTGCAGTAAACGGGCTTCTCATTGCGGTGGCTTCTCTTGTTGCTGAGCACAGGCTCTAGGTGCGCAGGCTTCAGTAATTGTGGCTCGCGGGCTAAATAGTTGTGGCTTGTGGGCTCCAGAGCGCAGGCTCAGTAGTTGTGGCCCATGGGCTTAGTTGCACCGCAGCATGTGGGATCTTCCCCGACCAGCACTCGAACCTGTGTCCCCTGCATTGGCAGGTGGATTCTCAGCCACTGTGCCACCAGGGAACCCCCCCAGATCATCTTCTATAGCTGACTCTAAGCACTTTTTGGGTTTTTTTTCTTGGTGTTAATTAAAATAGTTACTCACTGTAGTTAAGAAAGTGATTTTCAATTAAGTCATCACAGTCCCTAAAAGTAAAAGGAAAAAACGTTTTAACTTGCCAAAAAGAAAGAGTAAACCTAAAAATACTGAATGGCACTCAGAATACTGCTTTAGCTTAATTTTCCCTTTGTAGTATAGTTACATGGGACTACATGCTGTAGACAGAGTGACTACCTAAAAAAGTTTATTTGAAAGATGAAAAGCTTCTGTATTACTTAAAGCATGAAAAATAATGGCATCTATATTTTTAAGAGTGCTCACTTTCATGTCTTGACACTGCATTCCTGCAGTGGAATTCCTTTTAAGGAATTGTGACTGATTGGACAGATTTTCTTAGTAACACATTTGCTATAAAAGGTCTCTAAATCTAAAGACCTTCAAGTCTTTTGGACTGGATAGCAAGAGGGCAGTTTATCGACTATCCAATAAACTGAATTTTAACTGGACATTTGGGCAGAAAAGGTAGACCTAGCTCAGGGACTTTTGCTTTTGTCTCCTGGCTAGCATTTTGATATATGCTGTACAACCAAACGAATATTAATTTCTCAAAAGTGATTTTACTTTAAAAAAATAAAATGGTTAAAGTTTCAAAAGGTAACTATACCTGGAATTATCAAAGGTATATAAAATGTGTTCTCATACTTACTCTGCTTTTGGGAGTGGGAATTATAAAGCCTTTGATATTGGATATCAAAACATATCATATTGGATAACCAGCATCTATCAGAAACTATAAAAAGTTATATACTTTTTGACCTAATAATTCTACTTCTAAGAAATTTAACTAAGGTAGTAATTGAACACAAAAATGTATATGGGAAGGAAAATAACAAAGGATATAAACCCTAGTATAGCATTACAGTGTTATCTATCAACAGATTCGGAGGGTATAACAGGGGCCTTATAACCCCATCCTGGAGCACAGGCGTAATAACTAGTTCTGCTCTTTGCCATTATCTTGCCATCCCTTCCTCCTTATCAACTTGTACTGAGTCTTCCACGGGATTCTGCATTAGTTATAACAAGGCTTTGCAAACTGTTTTTAACTTTTCAAAAATATTATCGAAACTAAAAAAGTAGAACAAAACGCGAGTTTTTCTTTACTGATTTTTTGGAATTCTGTCAACCCAACCTGATAACACTGGACAGCTCATGTTTAGCAGAAGCTGTGGTCAGCATCTTAGTCTAGTGTAATAAAAATAAATGGAAAGAAATTTTAAATTCAGCTTTATAGACAAAGTTATCAAAACATAGACAAACATAGGATAGTACAAATTGCACAGGCTCTGGGTGAAGTAGTCTTGGGTTCTGATTCTAACTCTGTTTCTTATTAGTTGGGTAATCCTTGGCAAGTTACTTAGCCTTTTAAAGCTTCAGAGTTTCCACTTTGATAACGGGGGGGGGCAATAAAATTGTTAAATAAAATAACTCTATAGAGGTACACATAATAACAACTCATTTTTACTTCCAGGCACAGTTCTAAGTGCTTTGCACATATTAACACATTTAATCCTCTCGGTAATTCTGAGGTGGATTCTTTTGTTACCCCCATTTACAGATGAGGAAACTGAAGCACAGAAAGGCTATATAGTTTGCCCAGGTCATACACCAAATGATGGAGACAAGAGTTAAACCCAGATCATCCGATTCCAGCATCTAAGCTCTTCACCACTTCATGATATTGCCTCTCCAGCCAGAACAGTGCTTCATCCTTTGTAGGTGGTCATCAAATGCTACTCAAAATCTTTTTGAGAAGAAGAAAAAGGTATCTATAGTGGTAAAAAATAGAGGATTACTGTCTTAACCCACTATTAGACATGGTGGCAGCCAGGATTTTTATATAAAAATGAGACAGGCGGGGGATACATTGTCTACCATATTGGCTGGAGGCTTACATTCTGTTTTCTAGAACTCTGGTTGACGCTTGAACAACATAGGTTTGAACTGCATGAGTCAACTTATACATGGATTTTTTCCAATAAATACTACAGCACTACATTATCAGAGGTTGGTTGAATCAGTGGATATAGAACCACAGACACAGAGGGCAAACTGTAACGTTATATGTGGATTTTTGACTGTGTGGGTGTCGGCACCCCAACCCCTGTGTTCAAGGGTCAACTGTATATCTGGTACATAGTGGGAATTTTCTATACGTGTAATTACCTATAAGAGAGACCTGGTTAATTAGGCTGTGAACTGCTTTTAGACCTTAGCTTCTCACTTGTAAGTTCTGGTAATGGTTTAGAATTTGAAAGCATCCCACCTACCATAAAGCAATAGTTTTCCATAGGCAAACAAAACCTCACTTGTTTTTCCAGTCATTAGTAATGAAACATAGTCACTTGACGTGACTGAAGGCACGAGGACATACAGATATACTTTTTCAATTCAGTTCTTTCTGTGTAATAGAAATTGCCACACTGAACATTTGGAGGTACAGTTGACCCCTTGAACAACACAGGTTTGAACTACACAGGTCCACTTAAATGCAAATTTTTTTTCAGTAAAGGATCTGTGGTTATTGACTCCAAGGATGTGGAACTTTGGGAACAGAGGGCCAACTCGGATTTTCTACTGCGTGGGTGTCAGCCTCCCTAACACCTGCCTTGTTCAGGGCTCAACTGTAGTCAGTAGAGTTTTAGATCTAGAAGAAGAAACTGAGATCCAAATGGTTAGTTGCCCAAAATCACATAACTGATAGTTTCTCATGATCATCTGATCCTTCGTTCATTGTTCGTCCGCACGCTGCCTGCTGGTCGAGCTGTTCTCTTCAGCTCTGGATACTTGAAGGGAGCTCAGCAGCGTAATTAAGTTCTTCAGCAGCTGCCTGATGAACACCTGTTAGGTGAACGCTCGTGCCGAGTGCTGAGGAAGTGAACATCCTTGAAACTGCAGTCATAGAAAACAGACATTTCAACAGATAATTATGCTAATTATTACAGCTGAGGTATGTTTCTTCTTTTAACCTTATATTCCATCCATCCTACTAGATCATGAACTCCTTAACTTGTAAAATAGTAGTCATGAAGCAAAGCTGAAAAAACTTGGAAAGTTTTCTGTAAATAATATTAACAGAGCTAATGTTTATCAACTAAAAGGTGGCTTGCATAGATAGCTATGATACGTGTGTGTGTGTGTGTGTGTGTGTGTATGTGAAGGCATTTTTTGTCTTGCTATTTCTTCAGAGCAGTCGATAATCACCTTACTATGAGTCTGCTACACTGGGAAAACAGCTGTGGATCCAGCCAGTCCGAGAGCGACTGCTGTGCTGCCATGGCCGCCAGCTCCTGTGGTGCTGCAGCCAAAGATGAGAGTGTGAGTGGAACTGCCAGCACAGTGAATCTTTCCAGCTCTTTTATGGAAGAGATCCAGGGATATGACGTGGAATTTGACCCACCCCTGGAAAGCAAGTATGAATGCCCCATCTGCTTGATGGCATTACGGGAAGCAGTGCAAACACCGTGCGGCCACAGGTTCTGCAAAGCCTGCATCATCAAATCAATAAGGTACGTGAGCATAAGAATGAATCTATAACGGCCAAATAGAACATTATTACATAGAACACAGGGCATCCCAAGAATAGTCTTATACATAAAAAGCTACTTCAGGAAGAAGAACACTGAACAGAAAACTGAGAAATTTACATTCTTATTCCAGTCCCTACTGTAGTATGAAAGGTAATTACTATGTCCTCCTCTCCTTTGACCCTCAGATAAATAAACAATAAGTAGCTACTTCTACTTATTAAAGCAGTTGTATTGTAGACTAGGGTGTGTCTCTAAGCTTTAAGAAAATAATTTAAAATAATGTACCTTAAATGATGATCCTACTAGAATACGATAATTTCAACCATACAAATAATGCTGACTTTATGAGTAATCATTATTCTCATTTTAGCCACATTAAATTTTGTCTGCTACCTGCTGCCTATGGACAACTGTAAAATAACGAGTATTTTTAAAGAAAGTATTGATTGATGGCTCTGCCTTCATAATATATCCAGAATTCAATCCCTGCCTCACCCTGTTCTGAATCACCATCAACTCTCTCACAGGCCTCCCTACTTCCACCCTTGCCTTCTTCTAGGCTGTTCTCAATATAGCAGCCAGAATGAACCTGGTAAAATAAGTAAGATGATGTCATCTCTGCTCAGAGCATTGCAGCAGGTCATCTGGGAGTAAAAGCCAAAGAAAGCCCTTGTAAGGCCTTATATGATAGGTCCATAAATTTTCTGATCATCTCTCTATTAGGCTCCCCTCCCCTCTACCAATTCACTCTTTGCTGTTCCTTGAACTTGTCAAGCATGCTCTTGGGGAGTTGGCTTCAGCTGTTCTCTCTGCATCTTACTTCAGTTAACTGCTTAGTCAGTGCCCTTTACTCCCTCCAGTGTGGCTCAGATCTCACCTTCTCGTAGGTACCTTGGCTACCCTGTTTATACCGCAGCATGCCTTTCCCCACCTCTTCCCACACTCTCTATCTCCCTTACCTACCTTTCTTTTTTTCTCTAACACTTTTCATATTTAAAAATACAGATAATTTGTGTGTTTATTGTCTGCTTGCTCACCTGGAGTATAAGCTCCTTGAGAGCAGGGGTTGAGATCTATTTTAGTTCTTGATATTTCCTAAGTGCCGGGAATAGCACCTGATACATAGTAGGTGCTCAGTAAATCATGATTGCATCAACTGAACAAAAGTATATGGGGTTTCCACAAATGATTAAAATTCATCTCCTAAGAAATAGATACATTTTACTATAATTCAGAAGTTAGATGGGAATATTTTTAGGTGACTAAGGAGTTCTATATAGGACAAAAAAATGGAAGAAGTGGGGGAATTTTAGGTTCTTCAACTAATAAGCATCTAGTCATATTGGTGAAATCATTTTTAAGTAGGTTAGCTGGCTGTTCACTCATCTTGTAAGTTTTTTTCTTTCGACTTTTTTTTTTTTGTGGTACGCGGGCCTCTCACTGCTGTGGTCTCTCCCGTTGCGGAGCACAGGCTCCGGACGCGCAGGCTCAGCGGCCATGGCTCACGGGCCCAGCCGCTCCGCGGCACGTGGGATCTTCCCGGACCGGGGCACGAACCCGTGTCCCCTGCATCGGCAGACGGACTCTCAACCACTGCGCCACCAGGGGAGCCCTGTTGGGAGGTTTTTGATTACTGATTCACTCTCCTTACTAGTAATGTAGTCTGTTCAGATTTTCTGTTTCTTTATGGTTCAGTCTTGGTAGGTTGCATGTTTCTGGGAATTTATCCATTTCTTTTAGGTTGTCAAATCTGTTGCCATATAATTGTTCATAGTAGTCTCTTTTGATCCTTTGTATCTGTGGTATCAGTTGTGATGTCTCCTCTTTCATTTCTGATTTGATTTGAGTCCTCTCTTTTTTTTTTCTTGTTAGTCTAGCTAAACTTTTCTATAAAATTTGAATTTGTGGTAACTACATCCATACTTGGGAATTGGCTTAACTTAAGTTACAAGGGAGCATGTGTCTTGTTTCAATTTGGGGGAAAAATATGTCACCCAATGGTGACTGGGCAACACCTCTCTAGAGGTGGTGTTCTCACCCTCCACACTGTTGGCATTTTGAGCCAGATCCTTCTTTGTCGTGGAAGGAGTCCTGGTGCTGTAGGATGCTTAACAGCATTCCTGGCCTCTGCTCCCTGGATGGTGAAATAGCCCCACTTCCCCAGTTGTGAGACCCAGATGTCCCCTGTGGTCAAAATGGCCCTAGTTGAGACTACTGGTTTAGGGTATACATGAGAGCAGTGTTAAAGGCTCACCTTTTTTTTCTGTCTATAATGATTTTCAATTTATATTGTATTTAGGTAGAAATAGGACCATATTATGGATCGTTGATTTTCCTGTAGGTGAAGATGTACAGAAAAACCCAAGTGTCACCCATGCCCAGGAAGGTAGCTAATCTTTAGCAGTTTTTTAACAGCAAGATATTCATGAAAATAGTGGAACAGTGGTCTGAAAAGGAAGTAAAACCTACAAAAGGAAGTGTGAGGCTTTTTTTTTTTTCTATCTCCCTCTAAGCTAGAAATGACCGCTTACTTCAACTTTAATGTTCTTAAAAGAATGGCTCGGAAATTTCCCATCGGTTATAGTCATTCGGAGAATCAAAAGGCAGCATCTCAATCCAATTCCATTTTCCTTTGGAGTGATTGCTAATGCGGTGGATAATGGTTTCCAGTTTACTTTGAAAGGTTCTTATTTTCTCTTAGATATCCATCACTTACGTTTGGGGAATATATTTCAATAAACTTGTTTACGTCCCTGGTTCTCAAAAAATATTCGACAGTAGAATAATATCATGCAGTGTGAGAGAAGCCCTATAAAGACTGACTATGTCGGTCACATTTTGTAGTTCTAAGGCATTTGACAGCAGACTCCCATTTTCAACACCTTTACGTGCACAAGAACCACCACTGTTGCTTTACACGTAGGAGGTGTGCAACAAATGTTTGCGTGATTGACGCTCTGTAGCCTATCTGACCTGCCACATTTCGTGAGTGAAGATTGAAACATCCCAAAAAGTTAAAGGGGAATGACAGACACCCAAGCTTCCTGGGGTAGTTGTTCCCATCGTAAGATAGAATAAACCATTGGGAAGCAGGACATAGAGGTCCTTTAACTCCTGATTGCATTGTATGTACCCTAGACATAAAAATAAAGGAAACCTTTGTTGCCCGTGAGCCAGTGTTGATGACTGTTCAAGGTAAACCTTAAAATGTGGCCTCGTGGGGCTACTTACTGCTAATTGGTTAATTTTTACTTATGACTAATAACTATAGACATGTTATTGGTATATTCTGAGCAGCATATAATTAGTTACATACCCCTAGTATGTTGAATAGCTGCTGATAGAACAGAGGCCTGCTAGACTGCCAAAATTCCCATCCTTAACTTCCACTTCATTTGTGTTGTTCAAAATATGATTGTATTCAATTTCTCATTTTTTGGTTGAAATCTATCCCACAATCTAAAATCCCATACTAGTTTTTGATAGATAATCCATATGGTGCTAGTTGTATCCATTTCATAAAAGAATGGTTCATAAACTGTCTATAAAAGGACAGTTTATTTTAGTGATATTATACAATATAATGTGTTCATTTATTTTCTATAGGAAATAAGTAGAGAATTTATATGTGGTGAATTAAAGTTGTGTGTATTTTCTAATGTGAATGTTTGTTTAAAATCTACCAAATAATATGTATTTTATTTGTTTCTTTTAGGGATGCAGGTCACAAATGTCCAGTTGACAATGAAATACTGCTGGAAAATCAACTCTTTCCTGACAATTTTGCAAAACGAGAGATTCTTTCTCTGATGGTGAAGTGTCCAAATGAAGGTTGTCTGCACAAGATGGAACTGAGGCATCTTGAGGTATTAAAGTTATTTTCTAGCTGTTAGCATATAGGCAGGGAAGTTCCTAGAGAATAGGAACTTTACTGTGTCCATCTGGATATTGCCAGTGCCTAGCATATAGTGATTGGTTAGCAAATTCTTGCTGAATTAATACCAACCCTTTCCCTTTCATTATTGAGTATAAGTATAAGTAGAAACCAGAAATTTCTTTTTCCATCTACTCTGGCTTTGCCCCAGTGATGATAAAAAATAAATCAGTATTCTGTAAGTTTTTTGGGTGAGCATTATCTGCAATAAAACTGAAGAGCATTTTAAATACAAGTGTCACATTTTAATTCCATAGCTTCATTTCTCTCATTTTGAAATAAGCAGCAAGCCACATGTAGCCATCATTCTTAGCGCCATCGTCTTAGCACCCTCATACTTTTTTCTCTGGTTTTCTAAATTATTCATTTTATTATGAACTATAATATAGTTCTCCTATAGCTTGAGATTAACTGAAGCCACGAGATAAAAGAATTTGCTTTTAAATTAATCAATCCTTAGTGTGGTGGTTTTACAAGAAGTTAAATATTGCTTATGTTCCATTTGAAATTAAGCATTTAAAATATATTTGTAACTTGCCCCCTTTACTTAGCTCCTTTTGGAGGAGCGGCCTTTCGACACTACTAAATTGATAATGAGAAAATCTGACTTCTTTCCAACTCTCTTCCCTAATTGGATACATGAACCTGAAAAGTCACATCCTTTGTATAGACTTTCAATTCACAACCATTCTTTGAAAAAAACCCATTAAGGCCTTCATATTGTGGTTCTGTGGTGTGTACTAAACAAAGTAGGTTCAGTGGACAATTCTATAGAAGAGAACAGTATATTCTTTGAAGAGATTATATTTAGATTTCTTAAGGATTGGCAAATACTAATTGATCATTTTTTTCCATCATAGGATCACCGAGCACATTGTGAGTTTGCTCTTATGAATTGTCCCCAATGCCAACGTCCCTTCCAAAAATGCCAACTTAATATTCACATTGTCAAGGAGTGTCCAAGGAGACAGGTTTCTTGTGTAAACTGTGCTGTATCGATGGCATTTGAAGATAAAGAGGCATGTACTAACTTGGATTTGTTAATTCCACTACTATTTTTTTTAATGTACAGTGGAGGGGGTTAGCAGTAGATGAAGATGTTAATCCAGTTCTGAGTCTGTATTATAAGTTGTGAGAAGACTGATTTTTTAAGAAAGTAAGTTCAATAAACCATTCTAGTAAATGAGTGTAGAGTTTATATTTTCATCTCTTTCTGAGGAAGCATTGTTTCTACTGCTTACCACAGTAGTAGATCTACAAGTAACAAGTTTTTAGGAAAGGTATATGCTGATCTGTTTCCCTATGTGATATTTTAATGACCAGTCTTGGATTAGAGACAAATAAATAAAATAATTACTGTATAAGACTTATATTTTTCTCTTTAAAAAAGAGAATGAGTGGTTAAAACTTCTAGGAGATTAAGTTAAATCCTACAAAGTGTGTTCCTTTGGTGATAATTCATCAAACACATATGATGAATTCACTTATCTGTACTTATGTTATACTTCAATTAAAACATTTATTTTTAAAAAGAAACTTCATGGCACTTGACAGCGTCGTGATCATAGAATATTTTTCCCATTTATAAACTGGGATGTAGAGAGATTAAGTAATTTTATATTAATATTATCAATGGCAAAGCTAGCACTGAGATCCTAGATCCTGGATCCGTATCCTATGTCCCTTTTACTAAAATAGTGTACATACAATTTATGTTCTTTTGTAACTATTAAGATACTTCCTTCAACTGTATTTCTTACAAATTTATCTTGTTAATTTTCCCTACTTTCTTATGAGATCAAGCATATTATGCTCATTAAGTTGATGAATTATTCAAAAAAATGTCAGCTAACTTGCTAAAAAGTCTGAGGCATAATTAGAGCAAATTGGTGTCTTCTTAAACTTCAGTAAATTAAATGGACCTAACCAGAAGGGTTAATTATTTCTTAAATTTTTTGTATTCTAGAAAACAAGGCTCACCTTTCTGGGGCCTTTGAGAACATGGGCCTCCTGCCCTAATCATGCTTCTGTTCTTTAACCTCCTGATAAGAGTTTTAATTGAATCATGCTGCTGCTGGAAGTTTTTGGAAAGGTGTCTTTGGAGAATTATAATGTTGTTAAATGATGCCCAAACAGTCACAGATGCATCTTTTGTATACTATCGTATTCTGTTAAAGAGCTGGAGGGTGAGATGAATCTCATTACTACACTGGCAAAGGGAGAGAAAATAACCTTTATAGATTATTCTCACATTTTTGTTTTACACACATCAAAAAAAAATAGGTTGGTGTTGCCTTTTCAGGTTTTCTCACTTTTTTTCTTATATTTCTTTAATAAAATTTAGATTCATGACCAGAACTGTCCTTTGGCAAATGTCATCTGTGAATACTGCAACACCATGCTCATCAGAGAACAGGTATAATGATTCCCTTTCATAAATCAGTATTTCCATAAATAGGTTAAAGAAGTGAATTAGATTTTTAACTGAAAATTTAAATCAGTAAGGCAAAATGAACACAGGTTGAAGAAGAATTAAAACTATGTGAATTTTAAATGCAAATCAGAATCACAATGAGGTATCACCTCACACACTTATCGTCAAAAAGTCTACAAATAATATTCTGGAGAGGGTGTGGGGAAAAGAGAACCCTCCTTCACTGTTGGTGGGAATGTAAATTGGTGCAGCCGCTATGGAAAACAGTATGGAGTTTCCTTAAAAAGCTAAAAGTAGAACTACCATACGATCCAGCAATCTCACTCATGGGCATATATCCCCAAAAGATGAAAACTCTTAATTTGAGAAGGTACACGGGGAATTCCCTGGCGGTCTGGTGGTTAGGACTCTGCGCTTTCACTGCCGAGGGCCCAGGTTCAGTTCCTGGTCGGGGAACTAAGATCCTGCAGGCTGCGCGGCACGGCCAGAAAAAAGAAAAGGTATATGCACCCCAGTGTTTATAGCAGCATTATTTATAATAGCCAAGACTTGGAAACAACCGATTAGTTTAAGAAGATGTGATATATATAGATAATAGAATATTACTCAGCCATAAAAAAGAATGAAATACTTCCATTTGCAGCAACATGGATGGACCTAGAGAATATTATACTAAGTGAAGTAAGTCAAAGACAATTGCTTTATGTTACCACTTATATATGGAATCTAAAAAACACAAATGAATCTTATATACAAAACAAATAGACTCACAGACATAGAAAACAAACTTAGGGTTACCAAAGGGGAAAGGGAAGTGGGGAGGGATAAATTAGTATAGATTAACAGATACCAACTACTATACATAAAATAGATAAGCAACAAGGATATACATAACACAGTAGGGAACTATATTCAATACCTTGTAACAACCTATAATGGAAAGTAATCTGAAAAATATAAATATATACATAGCTGAGTCACTTTGCTATATACTTGAAACTAACAGTATTGTAAATCTGTATTTCAATTTTAAGAAAACTGAATTTTTTCAAATAATATAATGAATAATTTGAGAAAGAACAAAATACTCAGCCCTGAGTACTTAAAATTCCTAAGTCATTAACATAATACCTGTGTTTATATATATTCATAGAAGTTCCAAAGCCAAGTAATTTTTAGATAAAAATAATTTAAAATGCTCATTTAAACACCAGAAACTTTATAAGAAATATCAATACATCTTTAGACTCTGTGAAATAAGGATCTTAGGTATCCAGAAACCAGTTGAAAAAGTAAGAACAATGAAATAGAAGGAAACAAGTCTATTCAGTAGCAGGATGTTATTTGTAGCCATGTCCCCGAGGCATGTTGGGAGATTTTGAGATTTCCAGGATCTGTAGCCCCTCTGTTCAGTTGCCTGTAGACCACTGATGGGGCATCATCAGAAGTAGTAGTTATATTAGAAAACTATTCATTTTTTTTATTAATAGAGAAAGGAAAATTCCATCTGATTGCTATCTTCTGACATTTGGAGGGTTTACCCACAAAATATGAATATTAGTCACTAAATATTTATACACTCATGAAATCTGCAAACCCGGAGATCATAATTGATTACCTTACTAAGTAGGAACAAGCAAAACCTGTCCCTCAACTAAACTTTTCCATTCATTTGTTAAGAGTCCTTTAGGTTTTTTTCCAACAGGGCCTTAATTTGAAGGTGTAAGTAACTTTTTGCTTGTGAAGTCTCATCTCCCGGGTTTTGCTTTTTGCTCTGTTTTAATACTTAAAGGAAACCACACAGCACATCTAAAATCCAGCAAAAGTAAAACTTAATGTAGGAAAAAACCCTAGGTTTAGAGTCAGAAAAACCTAGATTTTAACCCTGACTGTGCCACTACTTGCCCACCGATCTCTGACAAGAAAGTGGACATTCTAGATCAGGGATCAGCAAACCAGCCCACCAGCCAAATCTGGCTGCTGCCTGCTTTTTAAAATAAGTTTTATTGGAACACAGCCATGCCCATGTGTTGTATGTGGCTGGTTTTGTGCCACAGTGGTAGAGCTGAGTACTTGGGACAGACTCCATAGGGCTTACAAGGCTGAAAATATTTACTGTATGACCCTTCACAAAAAATTTTATTGACCACTATTCTAGATTATGCGAAATGAAGGACTGGATTAAATGGTCTCTGATGTTGTTTCTGCTTGAAATATCTATGATTACAGCTAAACTAAATTTCTAAAGGAAATTTACTACCACTTTCAAAGAACATGATTCTACATAATGGATCTTACCTTAAAGAATTTAGAGTCCCCAAATCAAAGCCTGAGACTTTCTTTAAAACTTTTATTAAAGTGCTTAAAATATCTTCTAACATCTGAGTCTCCCCATTGTAGTCAAAGCATGTGCAGGTTAACAAAAAGTAAGAAGATTTATGAAAGGTGGTCATGAGGGAAAGACAGGGTGCAGTCAGTGGCTCTAACGTATATAGTTTATTGAATAGGGATTCAGTGGCCTGGACCACAGTGAGAGTCTTAGTTGGGTCATGGTTGACATCAGAAGGTACTTTTTCTTTATAATGCCGCTAGAGGGTGCCAGTTCCCTGGCAGTAGGAATAAATTCATTTTCTTGAAATGAATTTTGAGTGATTTGGGGGCATGGTATGAGACGTTGATATTTCCTTCCTTTGTGACTTTTGGAAGTAAATATCATTTTTTTAAGTCGATAAAATACATTTTATGTTGATGCAAAGCCAGTCTAAATCAGCTAAGTCTCAATTATAAAATAAGCTTAACAGAGCTGCAAAACAACTTTTATATATATGCATTAGCCAATCTAAATCCAGCCAGGTATTGCTTTGAAGAGGCCCTTAGATACCTGGAGTTAATTTGAAAATGAAGAAAAAATTGCTTAAGAACATCATATTGCAGTTCCTGTTCAAGACAGCTATGTATTGGATTGGCCAAAAAGTTCGTTCGGGTTTTCCATAAAATGTTGGAAAAACCCGAACGAACTTTTTGGCCAACTCAATATGATGCCTGTGAATTCACCTCCTCCCAAGAGTCTACAGCTACACATGGAACAACTTCCTCTTATAAAAACCTAAAGGCTGGCTGAGTAATGACTACACATTAGGCAAATGAGAAGAAAATCACATCAAGGTGGGTAGGAAAGGCTAGGAAACAATCTCACCATATACCCACAAGCAGGAGGGAACTCAAACCCTGGAGCTTCTCCCTGAGGACTGAAGGGTCCAAACCCACTCCTCAGGCATTTCAACTTTTAAGACATACACTGGAGAGATAAGCTCCCCAAATACCTAACTCTGAAAACCAACAGGGCTCATGTTCCTAGACCCACCAGACTCTAGTGATCTTGGAAGCTGCTCTTTTTTTTTTTTTCTTTTTAACATCTTTATTGGAGTATAATTGCTTTACAATGGTGTGTTAGTTTCTGCTTTGTAACAAAGTGAATCAGCTACACATACACATATATCCCCATATCTCCTCCCTCTTGCGTCTCCCTCCCACCCTCCCTATCCCACTCCTCTAGGTGGTCACAAAGCAGCAAGCTCATCTCCCTGTGCTATGCAGCTGCTTCCCACTAGCTATCTGTTTTACATTTGGTAGTGTGTATACATCAATGCTACTCTCTCACTTTGTCCCAGCTTTCTCTTCCCCCTCCCGTGTGCTCAAGTCCATTCTCTGTCTGCATCTTTATTCCTGTCCTGCCCCTAGGTTCTTCGAACCTTTTTTTTTTTTTAATTCCGTGTATATGTGTTAGCATACAGTATTTGTTTTTCACTTCTGACTTCACTCTGTATGACAGACTCTAGGTCCATCAACCTCACTACAAATAACTCAATTTTGTTTCTTTTTATGGCTGAATAATATTCCATTGTATATATGTGCCACATCTTCTATATCCATTCATCTGTCAATGGACACAGGTAGCTTCCACATCCTGGCTATTGTAAATAGAGCTGCAGTGAACATTGTGATACATGCGTCTTTCCGAATTATGGCTTTCTCAGGATATATGCCCAGTAGTGGGATTGCTGGGTCGTATGGTAGTTCTATTTTTAGTTTTTTAAGGAGCCTCCATACTGTTCTCCATAGTGGCTGTATCAATTTACATTCCCACCAACAGTGCAAGAGAGTTCCCTTTTCTCCGCACCCTCTCCAGCATTTATCGTTTCCAGATTTTTTGATGATGGCCATTCTGACAGTTGTGAGGTGATACTTCATTGTAGTTTTGATTTGCATTTCTCTAATGATTAGTGATGTTGAGCATACTTTCATGTGTTGGCAATCTGTATATCTTCTTTGGAGAAATGTCTGTTTAGGTCTACAGCCCATTTTTGGATTGGGTTGTTTGTTTCTTTGATATTGAGCTGCATGAGCTGCTTGTAAATTTTGGAGATTAATCCTCTGTCAGTTGCTTCATTTGCAAATATTTTCTCCCATTCTGACGGTTGTCTTTTCATCTTGTTTATGGTTTCCTTTGCTGTGCAAAAGCTTTTAAGTTTCATTAGATCCCATTTGTTTATTTTTCTTTTTATTTCCATTTTGCTAGGAGGTGGTCAAGAAGGATCTTGCTGTGATTTATGTCATAGAGTGTTCTGCCTATGTTTTCCTCTAAGAGTTTTATAGTGTCTGGCCTTACATTTAGGTCTTTAATCCATTTTGAGTTTATTTTTGTGTATGGCGTTAGGGAGTGTACTAATTTCATTCTTTTACATATAGCTGTCCAGTTTTCCCAGTACCACTTACTGAATAGGCTGTTTTTTCTCCGTTGTGTATTCTTGCCTCCTTTATCAAAAATAAGGTGACCATGTGTGCGTGGGTTTATCTCTGGACTTTTTATCCTGTTCCACTGATGTATATTTCTGTTTTTGTGCCAGTACCATACTGTCTTGATTACTGTAGCTTTGTAGTATAGTTCGAAGTCAGGGAACCTGATTCCTCCAGCTCTGATTTTCTCTCTCAAGATTACTTTGGCTCTTTGGGGTCTTTAGTGTATCCATACAAATTGTGAAAATTTTTGTTCTAGTTCTGTGAAAAATGCCATTGGTAGTTTGATAGGGATTGCATTGAATCTGTAGATTGCTTTGGGTAGTAGAGTCATTTTCACAATGTTGATTCTTCCGATCCAAGAACATGGTATATCCCTTCATCTGTTTGCATCATTTTTAATTTCTTTCATCAGTGTCTTACAGTTTTCTGCATACAGGTCTTTTGTCTCCTTAGGTAGCTTTATTCCTAGGTATTTTATTCTTTTTGTTGCAGTGGTAAATGGGAGTGTTTCCTTAATTTCTCTTGCAGATTTTTCATCATTAGTGTATAGGAATGCAAGAGATTTCTGTGCATTAATTTTGTGTCCTGCTACTTTACCAAATTCATTGAATTAGCTCTAGTAGTTTTTTGGTGGGATCTTTAGGATTCTCTATGTATAGTATCATGTCATCTGCAAACAGTGACAGCTTTACTTCTTTTCTGATTTGGATTCCTCTTATTTCTTTTTCTTCTCTGATTGCTGTGGCTAAAACTTCCATAACTATGTTGAATAATAGTGGTGAGAATGGACAACCTTGTCTTGTTCTGGATCTTAGAGGGAGTGGTTTCAGTTTTTCCCCATTGAGAATGATGTTGGCTGTGGGTTTGTCATATATGGCCTTTATAGTGTTGAGGTACGTTCCCTCTATGCCTACTTTCTGGAGGGTTTTTGTCATAATGGGTGTTGAATTTTGTCACAAGCTTCTTCTGCATCTATTGAAATGATTATATGGTTTTTATCCTTCAGTTTGTTGATATGGTTTATCACATTGATTGATTTGTGTATACTGAAGAATCCTTGCATTCCTGGGATAAACTCCACTTGATCATGGTGTATGTCCTTTTAATGTGCTGTTGGATTCTGTTTGCTAGTATTTTGTTGAGGATTTTTGCATCTATGTTCATCAGTGATATTGGCCTGTAGTTTTCTTTCTTTGTGACATCTTTGTCTGGTTTTGGTATCAGGGTGATGGTGGACTCATGGAATGAGTTGGGGAGTGTTCCTCCCTCTGCTATATTTTGGAAGAGTTTGAGAAGGATAGGTGTTAGCTCTTCTCTAAATTGATAGAATTCACCTGTGAAGCCATCTGGTCCTGGGCTTTTGTTTGTTGGAAGAGTTTTAATCACAGTCTCAATTTCAGTGCTTGTGATTGGTCTGTTTATAATTTCTATTTCTTCGTGGTTCAGTCTCGGAAGGTTGTGCTTTTCTAAGAATTTGTCCATTTCTTCCAGGTTGTCCATTTTATTGGCATATAGTTGCTTGTAGTAATCTCTCATGATGCTTTGTATTTCTGCAGTGTCAGTTGTTACTTCTCCTTTTTCATTTCTAATTCTATTGATTTGAGTCTTCTCCCTTTTTTTCTTGATGAGTCTGGCTAATGGTTTATCAATTTCGTTTATTTTCTCAAAGAACCAGCTTTTAGTTTTATTGATCTTTGCTATTGTTTCCTTCATTTCTTTTTCATCTATTTCTGGTCTGACCTTTATGATTTCTTTCCTTCTGCTGACTTTGGGGTTTTTTTGTTCTTCTTTCTCTAATTGCTTTAGGTGTAAGGTTAGGTTGTTTATTTGAGATGTTTCTTGAGGAAGGATTGTATTGCTATAAACTTCCCTCTCAGAATTGCTTTTGCTTCATCCCATAGGTTTTGGGTCATCGTGTTTTCATTGTCGTTTGATTCTAGGTATTTTTTGATTTCCTCTTTGATTTCTTTAGTGATCTGTTGGTTATTAAGTAGTGTATTGTTTAGCCTCCATGTGTTTGTATTTTTTACAGATTTTTTTCCTGTAATTGATATCTAGTCTCATAGTGCTGTGGTCAGAAAAGATACTTGATATGATTTCAATTTTCTTAAATTTACCAAGGCTTGATTTGTGACCCAAGATAATGATCTATCCTGGAGAATGTTCCATGAGCACTTGAGAAGAAAGTGTATTCTGTTGTCTCTGAATGGAATGTCCTATAAATATCAATTAAGTCCATCTTGTTTAATGTGTCATTTAAAGCTTGTGTTTCCTTATTTATTTTCATTTTGGATGATCTGTCCATTGGTGAAAGTGGGGTGTTAAAGTCCCCTACTATGATTGTGTTACTGCCAGTTTCCTCTTTAATGGCTCTTAGCATTTGCCTTATGTATTGAGGTGCTCCTGTGTTGGGTGCATAAATATTTACAGTTGTTATATCTTCTTCTTGGATTGATACCTTGATCATTATGTAGTATCCTTCTTTGTCTCTTGTAACAGTCTTTATTTTAAAGTCTATTTTGTCTGATACGAGAATTGCTGCTCCAGCTTTCTTTTGATTTCCATTTGCATGGAGTATCTTTTTCCCTCCCCTCACTTTCAGTCTGTATGTGTCCCTAGGTCTGAAGTGGGTCTCTTGTAGACAGCATATATACGGGTCTTCTTTTTGTATCCATTCAGCCAGTCTTCGTCTTTTGGTTGGAGTATTCAGTCCATTTACATTTAAGGTAGTTATTGATATGTATGGTCCTATTACCATTTTCTTAATTGTTTTGGGTTTGTTATTGTAGGTCTTTTCCTTCTCTTGTGTTTCCTGCCTAGAGAAGTTCCTTTAACATTTGTTGTAAAGCTGGTTTGGTGGTGCTGAATTCTCTTAGCTTTTGCTAGTCTGTAAAGGTTTTAATATTTCTGTCGAATCTGAATGAGAGCCTTGCTGGGTAGAGTAATCTTGTTTGTAGGTTTTTCCCTTTCAGCACTTCAAATATGTCCTGCCCCCTTCTGGCTTGCAGAGTTTCTGCTGAAAGACTAGCTGTTAAACTTATGGGGATTCCCTTGTATGTTATTTGTTGCTTTTCCCTTGCTGCTTTTAATATTTTTTCTTTGTATTTAATTTTTGATAGTTTGATGAATATGTGTCTTGGCGTGTTTCTCCTTGGATTTGTCCTGTATGGGACTCTCTGCTCTTCCTGGACTTGATTAACTATTTCCTTTCCCATATTAGGGAAGTTTTCAACTATAATCTCTTCAAATATCTTCTCAGTCCCTGTCTCTTTCTCTACTTCTGGGACCCCTGTAATTCGAATGTTGGTGTGTTTAATATTGTCCCAGAGGTCTCTAAGACCGTCCTCAATTCTTTTCATTCTTTTTTCTTTATTCTGATCTGCAGTAGTTATTTCCACTATTTTGTCTTCCAGGTCACTTATCCGTTCTTCTGCCTCAGTTACTCTGCTATTGATTCCTTCTAGAGAATTTTTAATTTCATTTATTGTGTTGTTTATCATTGTTTGTTTGCTCTTTAGTTCTTCTAGGTCTTTGTTAACTGTTTCTTGTATTTTCTCCATTCTATTTCCAAGATTTTGGATCATCTTTATTATCATTACTCTGAATTCTTTTTCAGGTAGACTGCCTATTTCCTCTTCATTTGTTTGGTCTGGTGGGTTTTTACCTTGCTCCTTCATCTGCTGTGTGTTTCTCTGTCTTCTCATTTTGCTTATCTTACTGTGTTTGGGGTCTCCTTTTTGAAGGCTGCAGGTTTGTAGTTCCCGTTGTTTTTGGTGTCTGTCCCCAGTGGCTAAACTTGGTTCAGTGGGTTGTGTAGGCTTCCTGGTGGAGGGGACTGGTGCCTGTGTTCTGGTGGATGAGGCTAGATCTTGTCTTTCTGGTGGGCAGGACCGCATCTGGGGGTGTGTTTTGGGGTGCCTGTGACCTTATTATGATTTTAGGCAGCCTCTCTGCTAATGGGTGGGGTTGTGTTCCTGTCTTGCTAGTTGTTTGGCATGGGGTGTCCAGCACTGTAGCTTGCTGGTCATTGAGTGGAGCTGGGTCTTAGCATTGAGATGGAGATCCCTGGGAGAGCTTTCACCATTTGATGTGACATGGAGCCAGGAGGTCTCTGGAGGACCAGTGTCCTGAACTTGGCTCTGCCACCTCAGAGACACAGGCCTGACACCCGCCCGAGCACCAAGACCCTACCAGCCACAGAGCTGTTCTCCCAGGTACCAAGCTGATCCTCTCACAATCATTTTACACTGAATAAGGCTTTTTCAAATGCCAATCTGCTCATCTCATCAGCTACAGATATTTCAGTGACATCTTATTGTTCCTAATTATTCTTTCCAGTGATGGACCAACAGTGGGGCAGGGGGAGTGGTTTGTCCAAGCTAAAATCCAGCTGGAGGATGTCCGTAAATATCATTTTAATCTTTGTGGGCTAACTGGTTTCTGTTGCAACTATTCACTCAGCCATTGTAACAAAGTCAGCCACTGACAGTATATGATTTTGTTTAGATGAAGTGTAACTCTTCATTTCAAGTGTGATCTTGTTAAACTAGACTATGATATGCAGGGTAAAACATTTTTCAACCTTTGTTTTGGTTTTCAGATGCCTAATCATTATGATCTAGACTGTCCTACAGCCCCAGTTCCATGCACATTCAGTACTTTTGGTTGCCATGAAAAGGTAAGGTTTTTTTTTTCCTTTTTAATTCTTGAATATAGATCAAGAAAATTAAGTTATATAGTGTAGTGGAGGATACCAGTGGATTGGAGATGGCCAACACACATTGTTTATGTGGTCTTAAGCTCCAAGAAATTGGGACTCAGAATATTAATTTTGAGAAGTAGTTGGTGATGATAATGGGAGGTGTGATTGGGATCATATAGAGTGTACAGGAAAGAGAAGTAGAACAGGAAATGAGCCATGAATGAACAGTCTCAGACGTTGATGAAACAGGCAAGGAGAAGCTATTGTTATGATCTCCAAAATTAGTTTCAAGACTTAGCGATCAGTTGTGTCAAATGTCTGAGAGGGAGCATTGTTTATGATAAGTTGATCTTTCTGGAGAGTGCGATTACACTTCGGCTTTTCCACTGTGCCTTTTTATCTGACTTTTTTACAGTAAGTATGTGTTTAATAATTAAAAAAATAAAATGAGCAAATAGTGTATAGTATGGTTACACTTTGTGAGAAAATTCTGTATTGTTTGTGTGCGTAGAGACAGACTTAAAGGAAATGTATCAAAATGTTAATTGTAGTTAGGTGAGATAATAGGTAACTTATTTTCTTTTTGATCATCTATACTTCCTATTTTTCTGTAATATACATGAATTACCCTTACAATAAAAATTGTTATATGATTTTTTTTTTCATATAACAGGCTATTCTTGATGATCTTAGAAGAGTATGAAGACAGGGAAGATTCCACTTTGCAACAGATTTGTAAAAATAAGTGAGGGATTGGGGGCAGGCAGTGCAGGTGGACTCCTCTTGGTTATAAAAGGAGAAGGGAGAAAATGATGCTAGCTAGAGGGAGATACAAGATCAATAGAGAGGTTTGCCCCTTTTTTTAAACAGGAAAGACTTTACTAATTCTGTTCTGAGGGGAAGGGTTAAGAGGAGAGAATGTTTGAAAATAAAGGAGAAAGGGGATAGCTAAGCAGAATCTCTGAGGTGTTGAAAAGGGGCAGGTGCCAGTTAGAGCCCAGGTGAAGCATTAATCTAGGACAAGAGGAGAGTCAGCTCTGAATCAGAAAAGAAGGATGAGTATAGATCCTGATACTTTTACAGGTAGGAGGGAGGTTTTTTTCTGAGTCCCTGAACGATTATTCAGCAGATAGCCTCTCGGTTTTTCAGGGAATTAGGAGGCAAGATCATCTTACTGGATTGAGAATCTGATGAAATCAAAGAAGGTTGTAGGGCATTGAGGGAAGTGATGACATGGCTTAAAAACCTTTTATTTGGCTTGGCTAGATCTCTTTCCTGGTGCTCACGTCTCTGTTCCTAACCTAAGGCCTGTGCGTGATTTTCAGATGCAGAGGAATCACTTGGCACGCCACCTGCAAGAGGATACCCAGTCGCACATGAGAATGATGGCCCAGGCTGTTCAGACTTTAAGCCTTGCGATAGCTCCCGCACCTCAGCGTGGCATGCTGCCATGTGATTCTGCCTCTCTGCCCCGGATTTCCTCTGGGTGTCACTCAGAGGTCCAGAATTTCCAAGAAACCATTCAACAGTTAGAGGGTCGCCTTGTAAGACAAGACCATCAAATCCGGGAGCTGACTGCAAAAATGGAAACTCAGAGCACGTATGTAAGTGAGCTAAAACGAACTATTCGAACCCTTGAGGACAAAGTTGCTGAAATAGAAGCACAGCAGTGCAATGGAATTTACATCTGGAAGATTGGCAATTTTGGGATGCACTTGAAATCTCAAGAAGAGGAGAAACCTGTTGTCATTCACAGCCCCGGATTCTACACAGGCAAACCCGGCTACAAACTATGCATGCGCCTGCACCTGCAGCTACCAACTGCACAGCGCTGTGCCAACTACATATCCCTCTTCGTCCACACGATGCAAGGAGAGTATGACAGCCACCTCCCGTGGCCCTTCCAGGGTACGATACGCCTTACCATCCTTGATCAGTCTGAAGCACCTGTAAGGCAAAACCATGAAGAGATAATGGACGCCAAACCAGAGCTGCTTGCCTTCCAGAGACCCACAATCCCACGGAACCCCAAAGGGTTTGGCTATGTGACCTTTATGCATCTGGAAGCCCTAAGACAAAGAACCTTCATCAAGGACGACACGTTATTAGTACGCTGTGAGGTCTCCACCCGCTTTGACATGGGCAGTCTTCGGAGGGAGGGTTTTCAACCACGAAGTACTGACTTGGGGATATAGCATCCCCTCATTTGTTTAAGAAACAAAACAACAGAAAAAACATTTGGAGAAAACTTGCCCTCTTTTCAATAACATACAAACAAAAAAAGCAATGGGGAAGATATACCCACCAGTGAATGTGGTTAGAGAGGTCACTTGCCACTTCCCTGTTAAAAATATCTGAAGCAGGGCTTCCCTGGTGGCGCAGTGGTTGAGAGTCCACCTGCTGATGCAGGGGACACGGGTTCGTGCCCCGGTCTGGGAAGATCCCACATGCCACGGAGCAGCTAGGCCCGTGAGCCATGGCCGCTGAGCCTGTGCGTCCGGAGCCTGTGCTCCGCAACGGGAGAGGCCACAACAGTGAGAGGCCCGCGTACCGCAAAAAAAAAAAAAAAAAAAAAATATATGAAGCAGTTTTCTCGGGAATGTACGTGTTCCCTGCCTTTTAAAAATGGTTACACTCAAAGTGCCTGTGGCCTACTGCAGCAGTTGTTCGTCTAGTAGGAGATCTCTTTGTTTTATTTTCATGGGCTCTTGCTCCAGGGGGGTTTATTGTCAAACCCAGGTTTGGAGTAGTAAAGCTCAAACCTTTTAATAATAACGGACGTTCCATAAAATTTCCACGTATTCTTATAGTGTTAGATGCAATATATTAAACTTGAGAATCACTACCGCCTCGTGCTGGTGCCAGCGAGAATAATTATTATTCTTGAGTTCTCATTTTATTTAAACTCCTGTAGATTTCAGAGGATTTGAACCATAATCCTTGGAAAGTTTAAGTTCTCATTAACCCTGTTTTTTCCGCCTGCAGGGTGTTTTTAAGGATATTCAGGGACTAGTTTAAACCCTAAATATAAGCTTACTAAGTGTGGATATGTTGTTTGTTGAATAATTCTTGTTTCATTGTACCTTGCTTATTTACTTGAGGCTACAAAGTAGCATCTTGTCCAGAGTTTAGAACTCTGAGAACCATGTGGAAACCAGCTGCTGGGTGTTAATGCTATAAATCCCTTTTGTCTATTCCAGGCAGAGTGAATTCCACAGGCCTACCTATGTTCTCTGTTGCCTAATGGTTGTAGGACAAGGAGATGCACACACATAATCACCAACAAAAATTTTAAATGGCTCAACTAGTCAACCAATAGGGCAGCTCATTGGTGGTGAGAAAAGCTATTTGAGCCAGAAATTTTCAGCTCTTTTGAACACCTTCTGGTTTAGTTCAATTAACGGAAGAAAATTGCTGTCCTAAATGCAGAATTTCTTAATACTTGGGAGATCATTGGTGTACCTGAGAGGTCACCAAACCAAGGTTGGAAGTCATAGTGATTATATCAGGACTTGACTGGAGTGGCTGGCTTTAGTCCCACAGTTCATACCTGAGGAGGATCACGTGGAATGTATTGAAGTGGCCAGTTGTTCCTAACAGGGAGGGATGGGTTTTGTGCCACTAGATATTTGTTAAAAGCCTTAGATACTAAAGATTATGGTGAAATGTAGTTCTCAGGGAGTCCCACAACTAGTACAGGCTCTTATGAAGAATCTGAGAGGACCCCTACACCATGCTGTTTACACAAGATTGTTTAAAGTTGTCTGAGGTAGTCCTGCAACTCCAGAGAGGCCAAATCAGAGCCCCTGGCCGGTGTTCAAGATCAGCCTTCATTTCAAGAGGAAGCCAAGAAACCGTGCAAAGGAAATGGTCTCGGTTCCGGGCAGACCCAAAAGTCACTCTGACCTTTCCCTTTACTTTTCTGTCTACTCTCCTTACCCACCCCACATCCAGGCTCCTGCTCTGGTGGGTTTATTCTATAAAGTGGGGGGAAAAAAAAGGTCATACAGGGACCCTGTTCCCAGTGCCGCCATTAGCGGCAGCTGCCCGTCGCTAGCTCACAGTTGGCTTGCTGGCAGTTCGTGCTCCGTGGCCCCTGAGCTCTCCAGCCAGCTCCCGAGGATCACTGCGGCACGGCCCTCTAGGTGAGGAGCCCGGCACCGCTGCTGTTCCTGTGATGGTTTTCCAAAAATAAATAGCTGTCCAGTTCCATGTGAAAAATAAATGGCAGTTACTCTTGTATAGAAACAAAAAACCTGAAGGAAATATACTAAACTTTTTGATGACTTATTTTCTTCTTTGTGCTTTCTTACATGTTTTATATTTTTTTACGGTAAACATGTCCTTTTCTCAGAGAAAAAAATGTTGCCACAAAACATTCAACCCTCACAGAGAAGGAAATAGCATTTAAAAGCTTCCTGGTCAAATTTCTATTAAAAGCATGGCTGTGCATTAGGTACTGAGGCGAGCCATTTCCTGCTTTGGTTATGTTATTTTTTTCTACTAACTTGGGAGCCTTAATCCAAACAAAAACAGTTTTTTGCCTCACTTCAACTTTTAGCTTCAGGTTTCCCTGAAGGAGTTGAATTAGCTATTTCTAAGGTCCATGCCAACCATAAAATTCTGTTTTAAGAAATGAAGTGCTAACCAGCAGAAAGTTGGCAATATCTACAAGAGGATTTTGCCAGTAGAAAAATTGCTTTATTTTTTTTGCTGACATAATACTTCAATTTAGTATCGATTTAGGGTCTCCTTTTAATTTGAACAATTTTTTTAACCCCCAACATTTGGCATTTTGTAATAAACCTGCCACTTATTTTATACTGGTCGTTCATTGTGAATATAGAGTAAAAGTAATGGTCAAACTCTCCATAGAGAAACTTTTGGTGACTTCAACTCAGAATCCACTCTTAGCTGGAAAGTGGCTCTCTTCTGTTCATTTTTCAAACCTCCTGCCTCACTCTGAAACATGCTGGTTTCACCCAGTTGGCTAACAAGTATTTGAGCTGTGTATTTATGTTTTATTAACCTTTTAACATTTATCTTTGGACATTGCTTTTAGACATTGTTAAATTAAAAATAAATTGTTTTTTTCTTTTCCCAGAGGTGTCCAACCCAGTGTTGGATGAAACTTGCTGCAGGTCATACCCTTTGTTATTGGAAAACAAAGGATGTTGTGGTAGTTTGGTAGTTTTTTACTGTCCGTTAGCGGTTGCAGCAATGACAGTTTCTGGCTGTACTACAAAATGATTAAACTTTTATTGGGGGGAATAAAAATAGAATAGAAAAAAGTGAAATAGGATGAAAATTGAGGGTTTTTTCCGCTAAAGATGGACTAACAGAGATGTTGAATGATCTCTAGCATTTAGTTTTTGTGGCAGGTATAAAATTATAAAATTGTCCCCCATTGCTGTTTTTATACCGTAAGTCTTAGATAAACTAAGAGCATGTTTATGAATTATGCATGCAGTTAGAGTACATTCTCACCAAAAAGGAGCAGTTGCTTGTCATTCCTTTATCCAGGGAATCCTCAAGTCTCTGGTGACCAGAAAACATTTTTAATTATTAGAGAGGTTTTTCTAACTTAAGGCTTTGAAATAGCTTTCCTTAATTCAGTTACTGCTGTTCTTGTTTTGCCTCAGTTAAATTCTACTCACTGTTTTATGAGAAATACCATCAGGTGTTTTTGTGATGCCTAGTTCCATAGAACCTAAGCAGTGCAGTGCCTTGAGGAAATGAAAAAGGGACAATAGTCATTTGTGTTTTTCCTTTGAAATACATTTTTAAAAAATTCCCGGGTGCATATATATGATAAGCTGTAGTTAGTTTCACAGTCGCTATTGTAGAGTCTAGAATGGAGTTGGCACTTCCAAATTCCTAGTATCCAAAAAGGTGATCTGATGAGATCAAATCAGATGCATCTCTGCACATCATGATGTTCAGTCACAGCCCTCACTTTTAGTCAAAGGCAAACACCTGCAAGGAGATGCCCAGTTGCTTCGCTAAGATGCGGTCTCTCAAAGGGAGAACCTCCTCTTGATAGAGCTTCCCTGTCTCTGCTGACGAATTGCATTTATCCCAGCTTTCTCCCAGATAGATTTCAGGATAAAAGCTAAATAGAACGCCAGTGGGAAGAAGGGCAGATGGATTTCTGTATTCCAAGGAAGAGATGCTATCAGTGGCCCTGAGGGGAACATCAACTGAGCGGCAGGGGCAAGGTTCTGTCCATAGAACCTTGAAACCCCAGACTTAGCACAGTGCCTAGCACACAGCACACACTCAAATATTAACAATGAACATTTAGTGAAAATACTGGTTGAGGTGCACCACTTTTTGGCAGGTTATTTGTCACGTGAGTTTTCGGTGATAAGAAATAAATGTTACTTTTATTTTGCTTTTTTCCCCCAGCGCTTTATTATGAAATTTTCCAAACATGCAGAATTGTTGCAAGAGTTGTACCATGGCCATCTACCACCTGGAATCCACAAATAGCATTTTGTTACATTTGCCTTACCACTTCAGAGATGCTCCTTTTAATGAGACTTATTAAGGTTGGTTTCTCTTTAAAAATCGCACTGCTAAGATAATTGAACACCTTTAATTCAGTTGTCTTAAGCTCCTCCGGGAAACATGATATTTGCTTTATAGCTAATTGTAGTCCTTAATTTAAGCTAGTTTAAACTTGTAAATCTGTCATGCTGAATTTCAATCTTACTTATTTTGCCTGAAGGGATGTTTTTTATAATAGAATTATTTGAAAGTCCTTGATCAATTGTACAGAATATTCTAATGTTATTTCCACACTTGATTATCCAATTAATTTGTCTGGTGAGAGTGCAATTTTGGCCCCATTTTGCTTATGCAGCGTTCCAGGATTATGTTCCCAGAGGGCTTGAAGAGGCAGGGTAATTTAGTGTATAAACCAGTAAATTAGGAGCTAAGAGATTTAGATTTTATTCCTGACTGACCACAGGCAAATCACTTCTCTTTGTGTCCATTTATCTACTTGTAAAGTGGGGACTAGAATTTGAAATTTAGATATTATTAAGTAATGGGTAACATTTATTAATGCCTGGATCTATTAAGAAAGACACTTTAAAAAGAAAGAAAAAATACACTGTGAATCCGGGGAGGCTCTCATAATTCTCTAACTGTATGACAAGCTACGGAATGAACTCTGACTTTTGAAAAATTGAAGCATGGGAAACGGTCAAAGTGTCTTATCAAAACCCCGCTGTTGCTTAGAAC